AAAAAGAATATTAAATTATTTTAAAAAGAGAGAGAGAGAGAGAGAGAGAGAGAAAGAATTAAATGCATTTCTTATTAATAAAGATTGGTATCGATGTAAGCTTACAAGTAGAAATTTCCATTTGCCTCTATCGAAAGTGAAGAGATTGTTTGAAAAAAAAAAATAAGAATTTCCTGTAATTTCTGTTGACCTTCTGAAGGTAAAGATAGGAATGGAGGTGAGTAACATGGAGAAAAAAAAAAAACATTATTATTATTTTTTTTATGTTGCTATGAATACCACGATCATATATGATACGATTATAAGCAGATGAAGGTAAACAAATTAGAAGCGGTTGCTAAGATATAATTTGGCACTAATTGTAATTGAAGAAGAGACGGGAAGTTTAATCATATCCACGAGTTGATTAGTTCAATTTAATTTTACTTATTTTATTAAAAATAATTCTTAATTTAAAAGAAAAAAAAAGATTAAGGAAAAAAAAAAAAAGATTAATAAAATTAAAATTTTAATTACGTCTTTTCCTTTTATTCGAAATTTAAACTGTGTATATAATCCAATTATTTGTTAAATTTAACATGAAAAACTTTAAAAAAATAAAATAAAAAAAAAAGATGCTATAGTTCTTTAATTTTTAAAGTTCTTTCTTATATTTATTTACGTTAAAAAAAAAAAGAAATAAAAGAAACTAAATTTATAATTTAGATAATAATGATTCGTTTTTTTTAAATATTATTTAGAGAATAATATCTTTTTTTAAGGAATAAGGAATTCTTTCTCTAATTAACTTCTAGTTTAATGAATTATTAAAGAAAATTTAGAAAGATAAAGCAATTGAAACATCGGCATTTTAGTCGTTAATGTTAATGGAAATTAAAAATTTACAAGACATTTGGAAAATTGAAGATTTAAAAGATAATTATGTTTCAAAATATTATTAAATTATAACATTTTCTATCATCTGATAACGTATAAACTGTATCAAATAATGCATAGAACAAGAGAAGAAATGCATCAACATCCACACACTTTTTCTCAATATTTTTCACTTATTTTATAAATTATAAACATTTAAAGTAATTTATTTTTTAAAAAAAAAGAATATTTTAAAAGTTTACGTGTACAATTTTGCGATTAAATCGTTAAAAAAAATATATCAATCGATGGCGAAATCAAGTATAGAAGATTTAACGTGGAATCAAATAACACAGCTTACAATATTTATATATATATATATTTTTTTTAAATTAAATATATTAAAATTGGACTTAAAATTTATAAATAGGATACTAGAAAATAGAAAAATAAATCGATAAACATTAAATTGGTAGTTATTAATGCTGAATGCGATCGTGTAGCGTGCAATGTGTTGTCAAAGAAGAAACATTGATACAGATGATACAGTTGACCAAGTCAATATACTAAAGTTTTTCTTTCTACTGTCAAATATTTACACGACAAAAGCCTTCTTGTATTCTAGAAACTTACTTTTCTTAAGTTTATCTCTAGATTAGTTAATTTGGATTTAAGAAAAATCATTAAAATAATTGCCTTTCTGTCAATAAAGTATTAATACTGATTTAAAAGTTTATATGTTTCAATGGAATTAAATTCATTTTAATTCTCTAGAAATTATATATATATCTTTTCGGGTATTATTTATAGATTATTTATAATATATATCACGCTTATTCTCGATAATGGAAGCGTGTGTTATGTTATCTCTTTTGCTATTTCTGTAGTTCTACTATCGGTTTTAAATAAAAACATTTACAAAGCTAGAAAGAAAGAAATTTATAAAATAGATTCTTGGTGCGAATCGAAAAAAGTATGATAATTTTATTCCCTACGGGTATAGAAAGAGAAGAAAAATGCATTTTTACCTGTTTGCTGTTTACGCCATTCGAGCAAAAACTGTTCGAACTATAAAAATAAAATGGCCTTTTGCATCGCCTGAAAAATATTGATACTCTGCAATATATTTTCTTCTATTTTTTTTTTTTTTTTTTTTTTAATATTTAAGATTCTTTAATTTTTGAGTGTTTCCATCTATTTTTGTGTAAACATTTTATTTATTTCTTAAGCATTATTATTTCTTTTCTATGAGTTTATAAAACGAACGAAACATGATTTGAGTTTAAATAGACGTATAAAAGATTCAAGAATTTAGTCTATTCGCTATCATTTTTTTCCTCTTTAAACATTCATTCGAAAGTACGAAAATACTTTATTCGTATTGATTAAACCCCCCCCCCCAAAAAATTAAAATTTTTACACGAAATTGCTTTTGCAAATGAATTTTGATAGCATTTTAACCAACGAATTTTTGCATCCTTTCATTTCATAATACAGATCATATTGTTTTTTTTTTTATGACTTTATACGAAGTAAATCTAATTATATTATCTTCAAAGGAATATTTATCTCTATCACACAAGACTAAATGCTTATTCTCATTTCCTTTAAACGGAAATTTGTTCACTCCTTTCCATCCATTCACAGTTATATTTCTTCATAATATCAGATTTATCAAGATCCGTTTCTAATATTATCTTATACTTTATTCTATTTTTAAACTCTCTCAAGATAAAAATATTAAAAAAGAATATTAAATTATTTTAAAAAGAGAGAGAGAGAGAGAGAGAGAGAGAAAGAATTAAATGCATTTCTTATTAATAAAGATTGGTATCGATGTAAGCTTACAAGTAGAAATTTCCATTTGCCTCTATCGAAAGTGAAGAGATTGTTTGAAAAAAAAAAATAAGAATTTCCTGTAATTTCTGTTGACCTTCTGAAGGTAAAGATAGGAATGGAGGTGAGTAACATGGAGAAAAAAAAAAAACATTATTATTATTTTTTTTATGTTGCTATGAATACCACGATCATATATGATACGATTATAAGCAGATGAAGGTAAACAAATTAGAAGCGGTTGCTAAGATATAATTTGGCACTAATTGTAATTGAAGAAGAGACGGGAAGTTTAATCATATCCACGAGTTGATTAGTTCAATTTAATTTTACTTATTTTATTAAAAATAATTCTTAATTTAAAAGAAAAAAAAAGATTAAGGAAAAAAAAAAAAAGATTAATAAAATTAAAATTTTAATTACGTCTTTTCCTTTTATTCGAAATTTAAACTGTGTATATAATCCAATTATTTGTTAAATTTAACATGAAAAACTTTAAAAAAATAAAATAAAAAAAAAAGATGCTATAGTTCTTTAATTTTTAAAGTTCTTTCTTATATTTATTTACGTTAAAAAAAAAAAGAAATAAAAGAAACTAAATTTATAATTTAGATAATAATGATTCGTTTTTTTTAAATATTATTTAGAGAATAATATCTTTTTTTAAGGAATAAGGAATTCTTTCTCTAATTAACTTCTAGTTTAATGAATTATTAAAGAAAATTTAGAAAGATAAAGCAATTGAAACATCGGCATTTTAGTCGTTAATGTTAATGGAAATTAAAAATTTACAAGACATTTGGAAAATTGAAGATTTAAAAGATAATTATGTTTCAAAATATTATTAAATTATAACATTTTCTATCATCTGATAACGTATAAACTGTATCAAATAATGCATAGAACAAGAGAAGAAATGCATCAACATCCACACACTTTTTCTCAATATTTTTCACTTATTTTATAAATTATAAACATTTAAAGTAATTTATTTTTTTAAAAAAAAGAATATTTTAAAAGTTTACGTGTACAATTTTGCGATTAAATCGTTAAAAAAAATATATCAATCGATGGCGAAATCAAGTATAGAAGATTTAACGTGGAATCAAATAACACAGCTTACAATATTTATATATATATATATTTTTTTTAAATTAAATATATTAAAATTGGACTTAAAATTTATAAATAGGATACTAGAAAATAGAAAAATAAATCGATAAACATTAAATTGGTAGTTATTAATGCTGAATGCGATCGTGTAGCGTGCAATGTGTTGTCAAAGAAGAAACATTGATACAGATGATACAGTTGACCAAGTCAATATACTAAAGTTTTTCTTTCTACTGTCAAATATTTACACGACAAAAGCCTTCTTGTATTCTAGAAACTTACTTTTCTTAAGTTTATCTCTAGATTAGTTAATTTGGATTTAAGAAAAATCATTAAAATAATTGCCTTTCTGTCAATAAAGTATTAATACTGATTTAAAAGTTTATATGTTTCAATGGAATTAAATTCATTTTAATTCTCTAGAAATTATAATTAATTATTTGGGATTTTTCATAATACTTTCAGGTTCATTAAATACATAAAATTATTTTCCTGACTGGAAAAATTTTCTTAATTGAGATTACTGATAAGTAAGTACTTTAAATTATTAATAGAAAAATCCTTAATTACTAAATAAATCAATGAGGATCGGATGAAAGTTTAAGTACGTTAATAATGTTTAAAATTTAAATTTTCAATAATTAAATTCGATTTTAAATGTATAAAGATTCTATTTTATTTTACTTTCATTAATAATAATAATAATAACAAATAAAGGATTATAATAGTTAAATACAATTGTAATCCTTTAAAGAGACTCCTCGTAAGTTTATACAATATTTTATCCTATTTAACCCTGTCCTTTCATCTGATAAATATAATTTTATCTTAATTATGTAAACAAAGAACAAAAGGGAAATTTTTGGGGATTGATCTAGTCTCGTCCCTCACCAGGCTGTTTCCATTGCTGGCCTGGCCAAAGCCATTGAGAAATTGCTATGAGACCCCCATCAATGGGTTCCAATTTTTCTCCAAGCTCCGGGAAAAATCCCCAATTCTCCCTCTCGACGTCCCTTAAAATGACCGAATCAATGATATAATTAAAAAGCCCTTTTTAGTGCTCAAAATTAAAAAAAAAATAAAATTGTTATTAAAGAAATAAATTCATTATTTAAAATTAGAAAACGAAAGGAAATAATGAAATCTAATTTTAAGAAAAGGGGAAAAGCGATACGATTGAAATTAACAGATGTTTATAAGATAAAAATTACTCGTTCGAGTGCCTTATCAAATGGCGAAGCAAATGACAAGGTTAAGTATAAATATAGACGACATTACTCACTCATTGAATGTAAAACAAAGTCGTATTTTATACCTATTTTTTAAAGTCTTAATTTCTTTTTATTTCTATAAAAATCGATATATTTTCGAATTTGAATAATTCATTCTTTAATTTCAATCAGTGTTTACAATACAATTCGAAAATTTCAAAATTAATTTGACAAGTAATTCTTCTCCTCCTCCACTTTCTTCTTCTTCTTCTTCTTCTTCTTCTTCTTCGACTAAGTAGGCGCCTCTAGAGACCACCATTTTGTTGAAATTTGGCACAAGTTTTCTTTACGCCATGCTCCAAGTATTCTGTATTTTAAGGCCAAAATCAATTCACTTTATAAGATATCATTTCTACAATTTTCTCATAATGTAGGCGGAATTTTTAGCAGTATTTTTCTGGTTTGTATTATCAAAGAATTATAGTAATTCTTTCTAAATATAATCTTGTAAATACTATTAAAAATAACAAAATATTATTAAAATTAATAGTTGAATTATAAAAATAGAAAAATGAAAAGTATTTTCCTGATTATTCGAGTGGAATTATCCATCGAACGAATGAATAAAATTTAAAACACTATAAATCAAACTAAGAATAATTTCGAAAGAAGTAAAACTTATTTAAAAATAGAAATCGTTTAGATGAATCTACAGTTTTTACTTTGTTTTAAAACTTATATTTACAAAGAAGGAGAAAGCTTTGCTTGTTCCTTTTTTTTTCCCCCGTTTTCGTTCGAGAATTTCGATGCTTCAGCATTCTCAAACGTATTCCACTTCTTTATTTTCTTTGTGAAACGTGACGATGTGCGACGTCATGTTGATGTTATCATGTGCCACGGAAAAAATGTTATTAAATTAATTGATAATTTTAATAATTAATTACCCTCAGACCTCTCTGTCTCACTCTCTTCACCTACCCCCCCCATCTCTCTCTCTCGAAAATCAGAATATTAGAATGTTACTAACTTAATTCGGAGGATTATAATTAAGTTAATAACCATAATTTTTCTTTTACAAATATATTATAATGTTAGTTTTTATATTTTATGCTAATCTTTCTCAGACTAGTATAAAGTATAAGACTCCTCCTCATAATCACTTGACTGCCTCCATTGTGGGCCTGTATGAACCCACGTTAAATATGGAAAAAAAGGACCTCTTAATGCTTCAAAGAGAAGAGTTAAAAATGAAAAAAAAAAGCATTATTTAAAATGTAAAATAACGACATATTTGAGAGACATGTTTGCATTTTACTATTACTCTTTAAAGAGCAGAAACTGTAATCAGTTTCTGCTATTCTGCTCGTTAAAGAGAAGTGGACGTCAGAAATTCGTAAACTAACTGTTAAAATTAAGTAATATTTCGTGAATAATACTCTATTATATATTAATATAATGCGTTATTATTTTAAACTGATATTCATCATTGTTTATCACTGTAGATAACAATGAATAAATATTATTAATTAATATATAGTGTGAAATATGTTTAATCTACAATTAATTCGTGCATTTTTCTATAACTTTTTAACGTTTTTATATTAAAAAATTCGAATAGATTCCAAGAGAAAAGATGTAAATTCCAAGCAACCACAATGAACTGTCCTCTTTATTATCCTTCTTGTGTTCTTAAAGAAGAAATATCTATAAGGAACTGTACAATCATTATAATCTTATAAAGATTTAAAATATATGCTCTCCATCTCAAATTACTATCTTGCCCCTGTAAATCATACTTTTCCTTAAACAGTAGAGTTGTGCTAGTCATCTATCTAACACCTTTCAGGGAAACATTTTTGAATTGAAATAACGTAACGTCTGGTTTGTATCGGAAGTTTGTATATAGTTAATCGGGATTTCATGCACTTAAGGTTTCTATATCTGCTCTCGAATTTCATCTAACTAACTTAAAGAAACACAGACAAATAAGTCTATAATTTTTTTTTTTTTTCAAATTTCACTCTAATAAAAACACGTTAATTAAAAATGGAGTTAGTATATTAAAGATACTTGTAAGATTATATCATTAATATTAATTTATCTTCCGATATTTCTGCTATAATTAATAGTTTAAACATTTTCTTAATTTTAAACGGTCCATAACTTTATGTCTTCATAATTAAATTGTTATTAGACATCTTTAAAGCTGATGTAATATTTCAACAATCTTGAACACAATAACATAGTTCAATCGATTCTAGCCTGGAGTAATCAATAAAATTTTTATTATTGCAATAGTTTGATTAATATTTCACGTTAAAGCTACATTTATTTATATTAATTTGTTCTTTGTTTTGTACCTTTTTTTTTTTCCTTACATTTCTGATGTTTTCTTCTCAATGTTTAGATTAATCAGTTAATCTTCGGATCAAAATAACTTGCCTACACAATTTTTTCCTTAATCTTATTGATTAATGAAATGTAATTTCAATATATTTAACTTCGATTTATTTTTATTTTCTTGTAGGATATTTAGATCCAGAAATTATAAGGTTATGTAAAAACATTCGGCATCTGTTGATTGTTACATTCAACAGATAAGGAAGGCATTTATTCGTTTATTTATATAAGAAGATAATAATTAAAATTTAATTTTAAGCATAAAAATTCACGAATTTTGAGTCATCATTCTTTATGGCTATTAAAAGAATTATACTCGAATTTTTAATGGTAAAGAAGAAAAATCTTGAAAATTTAATTATTGGAAATGTTATATCAAATTTCTTAGTTGCTAATCGTTTAAAATGCCAACGAGGGAGGGAGAGAGAGAGAGAGAAAAAAAAAGAAATTTAAAATGTGTTACTAACTTTTTCATCGATATTATTCAAAGAAAATTGAAAGAAATGGATGAGTAAACCGATGCTAATGAGCGTGCTTCAGAATTGATAGTGAAACGTCTACCTAAAAATTCTAAGAGTGATTTTTGTTGTGTTTTTTTAATCGATTTAACCCATTTCTGAGAAAACTTTATAGAAAATTAACAAGAAATAAACAATATATACATAAGAATATCGCTTCTTCAAAAGATTTAAGCGTATAAATTTAATAAAGAATAACATTACAAGTCGACGCCCCCTATAACACTGTTGATAATTCCGTTTTATATGAATTCCATGTTGTATTAGTCACTTAGATTTTACAAATACGTGTGCCGGGCTGTGAACAGATCACGTATTTGTAAAATCTAAGTGACTCGTACAACATGGAATTCATATAAAACGGAATTATCAACAGTGTTATAGGGGGGGTCAACTTGTATAGTCTTTCAAAATATAATTAACTTGTATACTTTTGTTTCTCTTGTGCTTACAGAATTTATTATTATATAATTTATCATTTCTATAAGATTATTTCGTTTGTTATGTTTAATCTTTTTGCTATCAGATTTTTAATAGTGCAAGTTTAAAGATCATTTTTATTGTATTGATCCGAGTCCAAATAATTCCTTCTGGACTTTGTTTCAAAGTAGGAACTTCGAGAATCATCTGTGGAAATTGTTGACACGTTTGAAGATTATCTCTCAATAAAGTGAACTTAAACGAATCTAATTATAAAAATATCTCTCATTTTCGATGTAAATTGAGTGCAAGATACTTTCAAAATTGAGATTACTGTAATTTTAATAAAGTTTTAAGAGGAAAAACAATTAAATAATGTAAATTTGTCTTCGTAAATTAAGGGAATAAAATATCTTTCCATCTGTTCATAAATCCAATTGTAAACCTTGATGGTTAAAACAGTAATTAGTCGTTAGAGAACGGACAATCTTGGTAATTGCTGTAACAATTATACGTTATATACAATCACTGAAAGAGAGAATATACTTCAGAAAATTATTCTATAACCTTGTATTATATATAAATATACTATTTTCCTATAAAATTATAATAAAAGATTGTTACAAGATTTATAAAAAATTTAACAAGATTCGATTCTGTTAATTTATTTTATACACATTATCAATTGAGAATAAATATAAACGATTGTTTTGAAGTAAATGTTCCATTGTTAATGAGATAAAGTAAATATATTTATTATTATTATTTGCATTCTTTAATTAAAGTTTGTAAGAGTAAATAGCCTTTGGGATATTTCGTTACAACCATTTTATATATATATATATATTTTAATAATAATCAAAGGTTTAAATTCATAAGAAAATTATGTTTTTAAAACTCGCTGTATCAAATTTAAAATTATTTAATAGAGTAGCATTTCATTGATTATATTTATTATAAAATAAATTATTAATTCGAATTTAATGCATAAATTCTCGAGAAGAATAAATAAAAATTTGTTTGTTGAAGATAAAAATTATATAAGCGTTAAACAAAATAATTCTAATTACAGATTATTTTTTTAAAATGTCAATAATTTTAATTACTAGTTTAACAGAAACATAAAAGAGTTAAATAATTTATAAAATTAAAAGGGAAAAAATAATTAGAGAATTTGCTAGTGCTAATTATTGAAAAGGATTAAAAGAAGGAATAAAAATCCAAGCAAGAATTAAGGATAAAAAAAAATAATAATAAGAGGCAAGAGGAAAAAGTTATAAGCAATATCTGAAAGAGAGTAAGACAAATTCAAGTTTTTTCCCCCTCATATACTAGAAGTAATTGGACCATAAACGTTGTCATCTTGCTTTTTATTTACGTCGTTTTCAATGCTTTCGTGATCGAAGGTCGCTTTTTTTTTTTTTTTTTTTTTACAACATTCATCGCTCTTCCAAATCAAACATATTTCAATAAACACTTTTAATGTTAAACTTGTCTTATAATAAAGTCACACCCTAATTATTTTTCGTCTCCTTCTATTGTGTAAATAAATATACTAGCATACATAAAACTATATTCAAAACCTTTTTCATTAATAATAAAAAGAAATAAATAACATCACATTTAATTATTAAAATAAAAAGCTTCTCGTCATATATTTTACACAATTAAAAAAAAAAAAATCTTAATAATCCCTCCATCCAACAGTCTATTTTTATATTAACTCACGTCTAATCTTTCGAAAAACTCATTAATAATATGATATAGGATAGAAATTTCTCTTTCATTTATTTAAAGTTTTAATTAAAGTTATAAAAATAATCAGTAAATATTTATTTATTACATTAATTCAATTATTAACTCGGTTATAGTTTGACAAAATAATAATAATAATTAAAACATCACAATGTTATACGAGAACACACGAACTTTAATACCCGAATTTTATATATATTTATTTATTTTTTAATATTAAAATTATGAAAGTTTCGTAATATACAATATTTTAAAATTGTTTCTTTTTGTTTATTAAAGTAGAAATTCAATATAAATTTATTATAGATATAATTATATACACGGATCATTTTCGCAAAAAAAAAAAACAATCCTCAAGTTAGAAAAATCTCTATTATAACACAGTTTTATGCTTATATTTTTGTTTATTTTTATCGGGCAA